TTTTTTTTTTTTTTTTTTTTTTTTTGGAAAGCCGGGGCCTGGGGTGCCGACCCCCGACCCTCGGGACCCCCGCCGGGGCCCCTGGCCCGGGGGTCGACAACCCTGACCACAGCCACCGTATGAGGGACCATTTCCCCTTCCTCCCACGTAGTGGCTTCCTTCACCACCACCCCTCTGGGTGCCGAATCCTCGTCCACCACGGCTGCGACCTCTTCCTCGGCCACGCCCTCTTCCTTGACGCCCTCCCCTGCGGGCTGCAACAGCTGCGTAACTCCCCTCCTGAGCTACCGGTCTGTTGGGTTCATCGAGACCATAGTCAACCTGATCCCAGGAGATGGTCTCGGCGCCTCCTTCTTCAAAGGTTAGAAGGAGATTGTCTTTCCCCGGTATAGACCCTGAGATATTGCGGTTTTGCCATCTCTTACCCGCTTGCAGATCCTTCCAATAATGGCAATAATTCGCTTCAGCGAGGAAGCCGGCATGATCTATTGCGATTTTGCTGAACTTCTCATACGTCATCCCCTCTTCCTTTGTGTCGGGATAGAGTTGCGTTCTCAGGAGATCCGGGAGTGCTCGTGCAAAACTGTTTAAGATTTGGGCCGGCGTCAACCCGTGATCAGGGCATTGCAATAATTCATCCATAGTGGCCTTTAGTGCAGAAGTACTCTTCCACTTCCTATCAGGAAGGTTGAGGATCAACATTTTTGTGCGTCTTGCCAAGTTTTTGTCCTCAAATCTTTCTCTTATCAACTTAAGGAAATCTTCGATTCGCGTTTGCTGCAAATACTCTACCATAGAGTTGCATCCCGCCTCCTTTTGCAGCGAGATGGCGAAGCTCATGGCGTCGCCTCCCATGCACGAAGTGGCCATCAACACCCTGTCCCAGTATGGGATACGTTGTCTGTACACATAGGTTTCAATTGTTGCCGCCCAGTGAAACACACTCTTTTCTTTTTTTCCATTGTAGGTCCAGGGCAGTTTAAGTTTTATCTTGTTAACCTACCCGGTTTCCTCAGGAAGTTTTTCTTTTGGATCCCCAATCTTCCTCTTTCCTTTCTTATCATCATCGCCGTCGCCATCTCCATCTCCTCCATCGCCTCCAGCTCCCTTTACAATCTTTTCTATAACTTCGGGGGTGAATGTCTTACTAACGTGGTCATCTAAAGCCTGAATATATGTCTGAACATGATGGTCTACATCCTTGGCTGACTTTTCCAAGAAGTTGTTCCAGACTGTTTCGAATTCCACTCGATGTGTTTCTACGCGTTGCAAAGTTTGATGCATTAAGTCCATGTCTTGCCTCGTGTTGAGGACGGCCGCCCTGAGGAGCGCAAACTGTGCTTCAGTTTCAGAGGGGTTTTCCTTTTGCGCTTCTAGAGCTCTCTGCAATTTCTCCCCTTCTGCTTACAGCCTTTTCTTTTCGTTCACTTCTTGCCTTTTGGATGTTAACAACTTGCTGTTCAACTCAGCCCTTTTCTCTGCCATCATCAGATTGCGTTCAACCGTATCTGTCAACGTGGCTTATTTGGGAATGAACACATCACGTTCTTCTTCAGACTCTTTTAGGATTTCGCTGGAGTAGTAATACTGATCAGCCCAATCTAGCGGTTCAACCGGAAGCCGCTGTGCTGTACTACTCTCTGGGATGTCAATGGGACGACGTCTTACTAAAGTCTCCACTTCCTCTTCTTCTTCTTCTTTTTCTTCTTGTATACTTTTCAATTCTTCTTCTAGTTCCTTGTCCATTCTCTCTTTCATTTTCTTTCTTGCTTCTTCTTCTTTCTGTTTTTTCTTTGCTTCTTTTTCCTTTTTCTTATCTGCCAGCCTGCGGTCAATTTCTGCTTGCTCCGAAGGTGTGGGCCCAGGCTTCACTGTTCCGGACTTCAACAACATGCGGGACGCACAGACGTGTCCGAATCCCAACGGGAAAGTTAGCCGGAAGATCGGGCCCAACAAGACAGAAAGGGCCAACAGGCCCTGGATGGGATAGTCATCCATGATGACTGCCGACACAGGAGACCCTCCGCCGGGTCACCAAGGTACTATCCCACTTACAGACTTGGTCTTGACTTGCGGTAATGGAGTAGTTATACTTTCATTTTTCTTTTTTTCTTTTTTAACGGTAGAAGATGCTGCGTACAATCAACAATAGATCAAACTAGAATGAACTTGAATATGTCTAATTTTTTTTTTTGATGTGCTGTCTGGCCTCCTAGATCGAACTTTTGGTAATGTGTTTCTATTGTCTTGCTTTTTTTTTTTTTTTTGGTACTAACTTGGCTGGTTGCTTGGTGTAGATATGGAGTATATCACAGAGAAGTCAGATGTAATGGGTTCACTTCCCCACCCAGGCAGAGATACTTCGTATACCTTTTTCTTTCTTTCGGGCTTAATAGGCCCTGTAGATGCTCAATATCATCCTTATGCTGCCTGATACATGCTATCTGACGTGGCACATAGCCACTTCCCACATCGATCCTGGGTTCTTGATAACGATACCCAGTCTGCCTATCAAGAGGGATAGGAGAGAGACCTACTCCTATTCGCAGAATACTGGACCACCTACTCTAGTGTGACCAGTTCCTGACACATCACACTTGGGTCATCGGACTCTGACGGCTCAGACCTGACAGCTATGACAACCCAGATCCAGACTTCGACTCCTGACCAGATCAGCAACAGTCACCTTCAGAGGGTCAGAGAGAGAGAAGGTAGGGGACACACACATACATGCAGGTTCAGGGAAAGGAGGTGCTTCTCTCTTCTTGAAGATACTGTTGATGATGCTCCACGACGCTCCGCACGCTCCAGGTAAGTAGACTTTGCCACTTCTTCTTCGGCCTGCTTCTCCCACTATCAACACTCTTCTTCTCCTCCTCCCTCCTTCGCTATTCCTCCATCACCACTTCTTCTCGCCGGCCTTGATCAGACCAACTCTATGAGAGTAGGGAGCATCTGCTCCGATACCAAAATTGCATGGGTCCAAGGGACCATCTCACGCAAGTGTGTACATGTCATGCATCACTCTCACACACAATGATCAATAGTCTCCATTCATAGACAAAGGTAGAGGACCGAGTTCCACAGCTTATATTATCAGAAATATGAATACAAAGTGTTTCAAAGTTCCCCTGAGTCCAACGCTCATCAACGCAACACCAATCTCTCGTCAACTCATCAGTATGGCTTCCAGCGAATCAGCGCTACTCCTGCAGATAGTCTCCAAGTCATCAATGTGGTCACTACTCATCAGCGCCACCTCTGCAGATCACACCCAACTCAGGTAAGTATCTTCCATAGCCGAACCTTGAATGAACACTCTCAGCCTCAGTACCTTCCTCCTACGATGCATACACACTATTCACTCATAAGGATCTACTCTGGATACTACTCATAGCTACATACTAACCCTCTACAACTAATGCTAACTCACTGGGCAGCTATGGCTGCATCACTTCCAGCGTACATGCAACACTTCCACGTATAGCAACCAGTGGAGATCTGGCGAGGAATGAGGCAGGCAGCTCCCTTTACAGTGCTGACCACTCCTCGTTGAGTCTGCATTGGCTCAATTCGGCCTTTCCTTTGTCCCAGACCCTGCATTGCATGTGTCCAAGTAGAGTCCCAATGAAGTTCAACTGCTGCCGAGGCCTCTCGGCCTGTATTTGGACTTGAAAGTCTGGATCTGGATTGACCCCTTGACTTAGACTAGAACTGGGACTGTGCCTATTGACTTTACTTTCGGACAGGCACAACTCTCAACGAACAGACACATTTACTGCTTGAACAAACACTTTCCTTTGCACGAACAGGTACACTGCCTGCACGTACAGACACACTCTTACCCGAACAGACATGATATACACATCTCCTGGTGAACAGGTAAGTTTTTTGACAATGCCCTTTGCCTTAGATTTAGATGTGCCTGTTGATAGAGAACTTGACCTTTGACCTGCTTTCACGTTTCTGAGCCCTGGCGAGATACCTTTTCACAATGCTTTACCTTTACAAGGCCCGTGCTGCTTTACTTTTACAAGGCCTGAGGCCTTCATCGTGTAAAGGCCCTTTTAAAAAACAGTCCCATACTGGTACAGCCAAACAACGGCAACCTACTACTAGATCCAACAATCATTCGTCATCCCACGGAACTACTCCTACACTGAGTATCAGTCCAACCCTGTCCAAACATTAAGCGGTCACCTGCAGGAACACTCGAACATGCCAACACTAGAAGCACATAGTATCAATCCAACTCTATCCAAGCGCTATGCTGTCTCTAACAGGAACAATTGAACAACTTCAAAACACTACAGACTAACATTAAACGGCTGGCAGGGCGATTCCTTCCCTAAATAACAACCCAACCCTGACCGGGCAACACCTCATTCGACAAGCACAAAAACAGACAAAATCAAAATAAAATCAAAATAAGCTCAGTACTGCCGACCATCCGAAAAACAGACTATGAGAATAGCTTAACAGTCTCGTGCCACACCACATCTCTTCTGTAAGCAAACCTCTTCAAAACCCTGTTGAAGAACTCGCCCGGTACATCCCTCAGTCTCAGTTCACGTTTCAAAGACAAGACCCGCCCTGGAATTTCACTTCTGATAGAAGTATTCTGGTCGATCCTGCTCAAATAACTGCATATCGTCGCACTCTTTTGTACCTTACTACCCCATGAGCGAAGGGACTGTCCGTTCTTAATTTCAAGAACATCATCAGTCCACAGTCTAGCTTCGTTACGAGACAATTGAACAGACCCCAGATATGGGTAAGTGTCCCTGCATCTTACCTCACAGCCCAAGAAATCAATCCTCCCTGTCCCTTCGTCCGTGCGTTTCAGGCACAAGCCTTTAGGATAGCAGTTTTTGAACAACCCCATTACCTGTTTTTGGCATGTTGTCGTTAATGATGCAGTAACAATCATAACATCATCAACTAGGCGCAATCCATACACCCGCCAATTCAGTCGTCCCAAGCTGCCCAGGAACAAATACTCGGAGTACGCACAAAGAATACAGGCAAGGGGTGGACTCGTCGACTTCCCCATGGGGATTCCCACGTCTTGCCTAACTATCACATTGGTTGCGCGAGTATAGGTATGACACAACTCGACGCGAAGGAAAAGCATGATGCTCTGGAAGTCCACGATCTTCAGTGATCAGCCCCTGTGGATCTACCAAACGTGGCACCTTTGCCCCTTGAGTTCACTCGTACCCACTCCCGACCCTTCTTCTGATGATAGCCAAGCAACCACTCCACTGCTCGCAGGATATCAACATGAGGTAACCTACAAAACATATCTTTAATATCGAAAGCCATTATCCTAAGATCCTTAACCTTGCCAAGTCTTCGAATTTTTGCATTAATGGTTTCCAGTCTGGTTGTCAACAAGGAAACTGCTGAAAGATTAAAGTGTGACTCCCTGGGAATGCTGGACAGTTAGAAATTCAGCCCACGTGCCACAACACGCCCTGTCCGCACCATAGGTTCAGAAAACGTAGGACAGATCGGTCGGTACCGCGTCAAGTCCTTGTGTTTAGGAATAATATACGCATTACCGAACTGTCCCCTGGGATCCCGACAAACAAACTTGTGGAGTGCCGATGTGCGCACGTCCTCCCGTATTTCCCGAAGCAGCGTTCCTTCAGTCGCTTCCATGACTTTGTAACCCGGGTTCCTGATAAATGTGTCCATCATAGCCTCATAATAAGTCTTAGGGCACATTACGACAGTCTCCCCCGGATTGCAATCCAAGGGGGTAAGTACCAACCCATTGAATCGCTTCTTCAGATTCAACACGTCAGTTAAAGTCAAAGAGCCCGATACTCCAATCTCTTGATTAATCATACACTGCGACAAGACTTTATTCGGAATCCGAGTAATCTTACCTCGAAAATTCCTCCATTCCTGAAAACCGGACACTATCTCCTGCCGTAGTTGTGCAATCCGATCCGGCAGCTGTGCCTTCGGAATGTTATTGGCGTTAACCAACAACGGATGTTCTACCCAGTCTAAGTTCAGTCGAAATTGCACGTGCCCATCCACTTGGGGATAGGGTAAACCTGCACACTGACAGGTTAGCACTTCACAAGCCGCAAAGGCCCGATGATTATGCAGCAACTCACCGATAGTCTGATTCTTCTGCCAGACTATCTGAGTCTTTTTTCGTGCTCGACGAATGAAGAAAGGGGGTAAGTCACATCCTGCCAACACATCGTTCACTACCTTTCTCACTTCACACAGGCTAATTCTGTCGTCAAATTTCACTTTTACCAACAGATCGGCACACATACTTAGGTCAAACCTGTCGCTGAAGATTCGAGATAGGAGACGACGTAAGTATTTACGGGTGGACTTCTTCGAAAAGTCTTTGATGACGTTATACAAATGCAGTAAGGATTTCAGTGGCCAATTATATACCCTACTCAAGGAACGAGGGTTTTTTAACATTGCAATCAACAGTTTCTTGAGAAATCCACACTGCGGTTTCCACATCACCACGTGCTCCACATATATTACCCCTCCCGCCTCAAACCAAAGCTTAGCATCCTTGAGAACACCCTTCTTCCCATCCTTAACTAGTTTTGTTAGACCAAAGGTGCGCGGCAACTTCTTCCACGGTGTCTGCCAAATATTCCCTCCACTAGCGAAAATCTCAAGACTCTCGTCACCCGGGACGTTATCCTTAGGCAATTTGTACAAGTCCAAAGACCAGTCCGGTGCAGTGCCAATACGAAAGCGAATGGGGGCAATGATCCGTTCGAGCTCAGCACTTCTTTTTCCTGCTCTCCACCTCTCCTTCCTACCCTTATTCTTCCTCTTCCTCACCCCACGCTTCTTCACACCAGTTGTATTAAAAAATGGCGATCATTGCCTAATGTACATCCCTTCCAGCTTAATCAGATCACCCCGTGAGATAGTATCAACCAGTATCAAGACGTACTTATAGGTTTTCGGTTTTTACACGCATAAACGTGCTCCCTCCACCTTACATCCAAATGGCGAGTACTCTTTCCAATATATTGAGATTTACAGTAAGCAAAACAACCAACATACACACACTGACGAACATTAACGAACTCGGTCCCATACTCCAGGTATAATCGGTACCATGCTTCGGTACACTTGCTCGTCCATCGGAGCTCCCCCGCAAACGCCAATTGTACGACACGAGACGAAGCAATTCCTCCACCCTAGCATCCACAACACCCACTAATGCACGCAAAACAGTTAAGCAGCTTACAACATCCCATAGGTCCACAATACTGAAAGAACCTCACCCCTCAGTGCCCTGTGTGGTATCTTCGCTCACGTCCGTACTGATCGCTTCAGGTTCCGTGTAGTCAGCCTCATCGTCACCCTTTGGTCCATAGGCCAGTTGCGCCCTATGCGCTGCAATATCAAAAATGGACTCGAACTTACCTCCATATGGGATGCCCTCATCCTTGCAGATGTTCTGCAACACGAGTGCATCCAATCCCTTCAAATCGTTCATGATCTTCTTCTCAAACTTTAATCGTTTCACGATGCCGAGGCCGGGCGCATCAGACTTCTTCCGGATCGACGGCGGTGTCTTCTTCGGCGTAGGCATGTTCTCTTGTCGTTTAGCTTTGGCGCGCGTAAGTCGTTCCGTCAACTGCGCAGGTTTCGTCACCTTCCGCGGTGTTCACTTCGGTGGTTGTTCCATGGGTGGACTTCCTTCAAAGAACGGCTCCGGCCCGCGCTTCCGCTTCTCGGACAAACATAAGTTGCGCGTGCGTTGACTAAGTTCGTCCGTATCACTGCTGCTTGCGTTGCCCTCGTGATCGGGATCAACGGGAGAAACCTTCTGCTTTCCCCGAGCTACCACTCGGCACAATTCGCCAATCGCCTCTTTAATCTCCAATCGAACATCCTCCCTCACATCCTCTCGCAATTCACCGACTCGCAGCGCAACTTTGATGTCGAGATTTTTATTAACCTCCTCAAACTTCTCAGCTTTGCGCCGAGCTTTTTCCTCTTTCTTCTTACGTTTAGCCTCCGCTTCCAGGCGTTCAGCAGCCGCGCGCTCCTCGGCTTCCTTCTTCTCCATCTTTTTCTGTTCCTTAGCAGCCTTCTTATGCTGTTCGATTTCAACAAACTGGCAGACCGCCGCGACACTCTTGCCAATCTTCGCAACCTTGGACTCCAGCTGGTCGTCGGTCGTCGGTCGTAAGTCGCTTACCGTAACCCCTGTCGCCCCTAGACTCCATCGAGGTCGAGGGTCTCGGATTACGTATTCTCCTCGGATGGGGGCACTGTGTGGCATAGTGTCCCATCTCGTTACAGTTAAAGCACCGTATCGGTGCCCGGCGTGATTCACGGTCATAGCCGCCCTCCCGATAGCTACTATCCTCACGTCCCCCATTGGGAAGGGAAGTCATCAATGCCATCTTTCGGGACTTCCCAAGTAGGAGTACTCATTGAAAGGCCCACATTGATACTTCCCTTGGGGGAGGATGTACCACCCCTCCCCGCTGCCTAAGTTAGCCTCAATGACTTGTTCCATGACTTGCCTCTGATCCTAAGTTTTTTTTTTTTTTTTTTTTTTGTTTGTTTGTTTGTTTGTTTTTTTTTTTTTTTTTTTTTTTTTTTTTTTTTTTTTTTTTTTTTTTTTAATATGATCCTAAGTTTCCTAAGTTTGAATGCACTGCCTAGGCTCTTGATGTGGTCCTTTTTTTAAAAAAAAATAAAAATAAAAAAAGGGCGACGGCCTTGAGATATCATCATAGAGCTGACCGCCCCCAGGCAATTCAGGAAAATTTGATTTTACTCATCATCAAGTTCCATCATCATCTGGATTCGAACTCGGGTCTGTATTTCAACAGTTCATGGGTGTGGTCCCCACTGAGCTAGGCTCTTAGGTATTTGGGCACATGTTCGGACTTTGATTTTTTTTTATTTTTATTGTTTTGACGTTGAATTTCCAGGGAACAGGTCGCAGATTGACTGGGGAAAAAAAAAAAAAAAAAAAAAAAGATTGACGATATTCCAAGCAGGGATATCAGCTGAGGCAGGAATCTGGACCACCAGGACCTCCAGATGCATTTATGGTACAGCAGGGGAAACTCGGACTGGATACAGTGGGAGTGCGGCGAAAAAGGTATATCGGGCGTAGGGAAGGGACACACATCATATGATCTGGATGCGGTAGACATCGTGGGTTGGTTCAGGGAGGACTTTCGACCGAGAGCGCGGATGGTAGAGGGAGGGTACAGGAAAAAGGCCGTAGGCGTGTAGCAGAAATTCTGACGGTGGCACAGCGTGACATGCAGATGATGAAATGGGAGAGAGTAGTGGGGAAGTAGGTGGGCGTGCTGATTCTAGAAGAAGAGTGGAGAGTCCGAAAGACTATATGACGATATATATATATATATATATATCGTCACAAACAGAACTGCCCGGTAAAACCGTAGGCAGAGAGAGAGAAGAGGACAACAAACGAGGGGCT